ATCTGTAATTTTTGCTTGCCATTTTTATCCAATGATTTTAAACCCTTTTCCTTGTTTTTCTAGGGCTTGTCGTTCTAGTCTCTTGTTTCTTAGTTCTCTTATTAGCTGTAGTTCTTTAAGTTCGTCAGATTTTTTCACTGCATCGCTTATATTTACTCCTGCTTTAGCCACAGAACCAAGAGCTTGCGCTTCTGAGGAAATGAGGGATTTGTTGTTTGAGACAAAATTGGCCACTTTGGGGATGAGAGATGTTAGCGCAGAGAAGAAACCGTCTCCTTCGAATTTTTTTTGTTCGTGTTTTAAAATTAAAGACATTTTTAATGCGGTTATTTACTGTATTATTATTAGTGATTCTTGTCTGTGGTTTGGGTAATTTATAATACAGTTTGGAGGAGTCTGTTATAATACATTTTTAACAGTTGTGTCTTTTCGGATATGACGCATTGAAAAAGCTGCGCATGCGCAGAAGTGAAATGCGTCATATCCGAAAAGACATATACTATTTAAATCCGATATGAAAACGAAAAAAATAGGCCATGAACTAGAGTAATTAACGCACTGGCTATCAGCATCGTCACAGTGCATCCGCGCCAATTTCTTCTTGAAGCTTTTTTTTCATGAATTTCATTTAGTGAGTTCTTTAGGGTTATGTATGGTGAAGAGTGGCCTGTCCTATGTTAGAACAAAATGGTTAAGTTATGATACTTGAAGGATCGTTTGGGGAATAGGAAGTATCTTCAATTTATAATGTCTTAATACCTGTCACAAGTCCCTAGGATCGGTCCTAGCTACGTTTCGACGATACGGGTTCAGTTTATATTTACTGCCAACGTGTTGTAATTCAAACTAAATATTAACTATCTTTAACGGTGTTATTGATCTATTTTAACTATATTATAATATAGTATTGATATATTGAATTGTTGATGAAACAAAAAAATGATTAGATGGATATCATGATTTCATGAAATAACATAGCTCGAGGCTATAATTTTGAAATTTCCTCAAAAAAATGTAAGGGTGCAATTTGGGGGACAATCTGGGGGTCACATGCTGATACTGTTGTGCTGTAAGGAAAAGCTAGATTTGGTCAAACTGTAAGAACGCGTGACGTCAAATCTCACGTTACCACCAGCTGTCAGGACTGAATCGTAATAATATATATTAAACATATCCTCAACATGTTCTATTAATCGATTCAGTGAATTATGCCACGCCTTCTCTGATGTTCTATATTGGTGATCCCTTTTTATACGCCCACATGAATATGTGGTCGTATATTGTCGTCGCCCCTGTCCGTCCGTCCGTCGGTCAACATTTCTTGTGAGCACTATAGAGACTACAGTTTTTATATGATTTTGATAAAACTTGGTGTGATGCTTTAGATTGAGAAGAGTTCGAATTTGACAAATTTTCGATGAACGGTTTTTGAGTTATTGCCCTTGACTTAGAACGCCTTGAAATTTGTTAAAAAATTGTTCGTGAGCAGGATTGAAGCTACAGTTTTCATCCGATTCTGATGAAACTTGGTGTGATCATTGGAATTGATAAAATCTCGGACAAGTTCTAACAAGAGATATTTTTGATGAACATTTTTTGAGTTATTGCCCTTGACTTTGTAAACACGCGTCAAAAGTTATTTTTTGCCCTTGATTAGAGCTGTGTGAATTAATTGTTTGTTGTATTTGGGTTATTGATATTGATTTTAAAAAATTTTGTGGAATTTTTCAGCATAAATAATTTCTTCAATATGAGAAAATTCGTACTTTAGTCACTAAAGACTGTTTTATTATTTCAGACAGCTGCCAGTGGGCGTATGTTACCTTGCATCGCAAGCTATCTTTCATTTGGTTATCAGAATGGTTTTTGTTCCGATTAGCAGCATGTCCCAGAAATTAAGAGCTGAGCAAATATTTTTTGGTGCCACTTTGAGATAACATTCTTGACATAATTTACTATATTGATTTCCCAGCTGAGTTTGATGATAATTAGAATTGTTCATATCAAGCTGTTATTTGTCAACACATTGAAATAGCTGGTACATGTACATTGATAAAAATTCTTATGACTATTTTCAGCCATACATGTTACTTATTACAACATAATTATGTTAACTCAACACTAATTTATATCTAGCATATCTCTTTATTTGTGACCTTGGCCAGTGCTTTTCTTATCATTACAACATAATTATGTTAACTTGATTATGCATTCAAATTAGTACTTGATATAGATGTTAAATAAGTCAACTTTCATCACTAATCAAGTCAACCTACTCCAGAGTAGTGAATAAGTCATCTTACAGTCATTGTTCCAGTCAAGCCAGCCGTAAATTGGTCCAAAAAAAGTCATCTTGCATCCTTACTTCAGTTGACGTCTGCAAAATAAGAATAAGGCCCCTTTCTTTCATTATTCCAATTGACCCAGATGGAACTGAAAAGTCTTTTCCAATTCATTATTTCAGTCGACCTAGCTGTGGTTGGTGTTAATAAGCATCTTTCATCATAATTCCAGGTGACTAAGCTGTAAAATACTACTGAATAAGGCGTCTTTCATTGAAATTTCAGTTGACTCAGTTGTAAAAATAGTACTGGATAGGATGTCTTTCATCATTTTTCCAGTTGTCCTAGCTCTAAATGGGCATGGTCGCTTACTGTTCTAGACGACTCAGTTGTAAATAGCCAGTGATAATCAGGACGAGGTCTATGCCAAGAGGTCACCCCTATTAGTGCATCGGAGATCGCCTTGCAGGATGCCTAGAGTGAATCAGAAAGGTTCGAGGTGACCCAACTGTAAGAACAACAGTTATCAAATATTATAAAATATACTAGGATGAAATTTATTAAAAATAATTACACGACATGTTTTCTATTTCTTCTGTATCGATTTAGTATCTGTATCTATCTCCGTTTCTATATAAACTCACACAATTTTCACTGATCATAAAACTTGATTATGGAATCAATATGATAGTCAATGCTAATTTGATGTTGATGGTGGTCTTGCTAAGGGCCGGAACATTGCCAGTGGTGAGTCCTGAGCGTTACCCCTACATGGCGCAAAAGTTTTGGGGAAAATTAGGTAAGTATAACAGGAACAGCTGAGACTGAAATAAGCTTGGAAGACAAGTTCGTTTGCACTATTTATACTAACTTTCCTCCATAAGAAATCTAAGCTGGATTTCTACCATGGTTTACAATTACAAGTTTGTTCTATCACTATATTTTTAAGATGAAGAATAAATATTAGACTATAATTTTATACATCTGTATTATTTTGTTGTAGATTGTGATAAGTATAATCTACCAATAAATACGATGTGGATTCAAAGAGATAGCTGTGAAGACAATAAACGATTCAAGTGCAAAAGAGGATATGTATCACAAGTTCAAACAACTTGTAAAAACGAAGTCTGGATTTTGGAACCAGCTTGTCAAGGTAAGAATTAGTTTCCACACAAGCTCTATACATTGTAGATTTTGCAGACAGGGTATTTCGTTCGGAAATAAAGTCTACATTGGTATCTAATTTATATATAATATTGAATTGAAGAAGAAAAGTATTTTGTATACGATACGAAATGAAATGAAATAGATATCTAATGATCATTTGTTTCGACTTTCATCAAACTTTCGAGTTATTATTTAATATTTATGTTTTACTGTTAGCTGTTAGCTTAAAATCCTATGTCGTTGTCTCATAAATTTATTTTGGTATTAGCTGTAGAGTGTACACAAGGTGTGAATATCACTAACTCTGATGATGTAACAGAATCTAGAATATTTGGTGAAGATTTTAGTTTTAACTGTTCAGTTGGCTACACTAAGAATGGTGAGACGGGTACTCTGAGGTGTGGTGAAAATGGTATGTGGCTAGAACAACAAGCTTGTCAAGGTAACAGTTTAAGAATTTATAGTTGTAAGGTGGGTGATGCAATAGATTAAGGATCCTGAAAGGGGTATTGGAAAGAAAAAGAAACACTTGATCTTGTCCGTATAGGAAAAAAAAAGAAAAAAATTGAATCAATGCTACCCCTTTTATAAAAATCTCAAGTATCTAATTTATATATAATATTGAATTGAAGAAGAAAAGTATTTTGTATACGATACGAAATGAAATGAAATAGATATCTAATGATCATTTGGTTCGACTTTCACCAAACTTTCGAGTTATTATTTAATATTTATGTTTTACTGTTAGCTGTTAGCTTAAAATCCGTCGTTGTCTCATACATTTATTTTACTATCAGCTGTAGAGTGTCCACAAGGTGTGAATATCACTAACTCTGATGATGTAACAGAATCTAGAATATTTGGTGAAGATTTTAGTTTTAACTGTTCAGTTGGCTCCACTAAGAATGGTGGGACGGGTACTCTGAGGTGTGGTGAAAATGGTACTTGGATAGAACAACAAGCTTGTCAAGGTAACAGTTTCAACTTTTAAAATTGCGAAATAGTAAGACTTTATAGGGATAAGGGAGGTAATGCGATCGATTAAGGATCCAACCCTCCCTTCCCCGAAATCTAATGATGTAACAGAATCCAGAATATTTGGTGATAATTTTAGTTTTAAATGCTCCCTGATTGGACTGACGGGTATACATCTTTTTACTACTGAAGTTAGGGTAATGGTAGGTTTAGGATATTATAAAATATATACATCTTTTTACTACTGAAGTTAGGGTAATGGTAGGTTTAGGATATTATAAAATATATACAACTTTTTACTACTGAAGTTAGGGCAATGGTAGGTTTAGGATATTATAAAATATATACATCTTTTTACTACTGAAGTTAGGGTAATGGTAGGTTTAGGATATTATAAAATATATACATCTTTTTACTACTGAAGTTAGGGTAATGGTAGGTTTAGGATATTATAAAATATATACAACTTTTTACTACTGAAGTTAGGGTAATGGTAGGTTTAGGATATTATAAAATATATACATCTTTACTACTGAACAAAATGGTTGTCTGCCAAAGCCATTTTTCTAGTAAAAATCTCATTATAACTTTAAAATGCAATTTTTCACCGATGTAGCAGGTCAGATACTCACTGCTCCAGTTTTATTTTGTTTGATAAATTATATTGGTGATTTTGATAGTGGGTACCTGGTGTTAACAGCTTGAAGTTTTGAGAGAGACATTTGTTTTGCAAATTTTCATTTTTTGACATCGACCTTAGATGATCCTAGTCCAAAACTCATTTTGGCAAAGAATTTATGTAAGATGTTATGTAATACTTTAATTTGTATTTCAGGATGTTACAAGTTTTTGAATAAAACATGTTTAGCACCGAGTTTCTTTTACTATGATGATTACACGTCAACTGAAGATGACCAATGTGATGAAGATTGTAATTCTATTACTGGGTGTACCGCTTCATTATATGAAAGCAATAATTGTAATTTTTACACAGCTCCGATCATCTTTGTGTCATATGATCTAGATCTAAATCAATGCATTGAAAAGTGTAAGGAGAGGAGTGACTGTGTAACATTGAACTTAAAGACAGGTATTAGCAATGAATGCTTTTTATTTAACGTTACCCTGGCTGAACTACCTGATGGTTCGACAACTGAAAATGACAGATGTACCATAGTAGAAAAAATATGTTAATTAAAACATGTTATCATTATTTTTTTACTTTACTTTTCGTAACAGAACTAACCTGAAATTTGGGTGGTGGGTTGACTCACTAGTGAAATGTTGGGAAGCTAATGAGGTTCCCTACTCCCAAAAATGAGCAACACATTTATGTTTATTCATCAGTGGACTCACCTAGTGTTAAAACTTTACAACAGAATTCTCTCATATGACCCGATAAATCAATAAAACTACAAAAGTAATTATTGAAAAAAAGATAAATATTGAAAAATGCTTAATATTTTTAAGCGTTTTTCAATAATTACTTAGTTTAAAGATGGGCTCCCTTATTTTCATTTGTGAAAATGAAAATAGTAATACTTATATGAATAGAAAGTAGATGTGTTTTAATGACTTGGAAAAATACCAGTTTGTCTCACATGTCCATAATTAATTCATAATTAGCTAAATTAGAAGAGAGATCAAGAAAGGTCAAAAATTCTTTTTTGTTTATCCAGACGGTACATACATTGACATTTATGATTGGTTAAAACTCGTAATTATATGCAATAAGAACATAATGATATGATTAAGAATACATGATAACTCATTAGAAACACAAATTAATCAAATAGTTTGCTTAATTTGGCACTAGAAAATAAGGAAACCTATCTTTAATGGATCTATTTTCATAAATAGGGTGCATGTTATTTTGTTAAGGCACCAGGTAAGTCCACTATGAATTTAGACTCATTTTGGCCAAGTTAGAGAATTTATATTTTATGTGCATTCTTGGAGGGGGTAACCTAGCTATTCAGATGTATACGGATGGGATATTACCATTTTAATCATACCCGTAGCTTAACAATCTCGGGGCTTGGCTTCTGCATTTTTTTAAGGAGGGCTTAAGTTTTTAACTTTTTGACAAAACAAAGTTGGGCTTAGAAATAGCTTAAAATGTGCTTTGTTGAAATATTACAGCCTATATAAATATAGCTTGCCAGGCAAGGTAACATACGCCCACTGATAGCTTTGATTGTAAGTACAAGTCTTTGTTTGCTTCCCATTCAATTGTAGCCTGTAGAGTCTGCACGAGTTGCCCAATATAGCTAATAGAGTGAAACGTCAAGTCAGACACGATATTTCGGTGAAAAATTATCCAATCATCACGAAATAACTCATACTAAATATCGGAATCTATATTTGACACCAGCCTCTATTTACTTGAGGTCGGCTGTTGCCCTATCTAATTCCATTTTACAAAAATAATTTCCTCAAAGTTCCGAATTATTTCCAAAAACAGCAGTAGTACTAGAGCTTACAGATGGGACGCACGGGGATTCCCCCATTCCATTTCATTCCATGGGGAAAGTGTGTCCAATCTGTAAGCTCCCAAAAAAAACCTAAACACGATACATTCCATCAATTCCCTCCCCAAAAAAACCCCTAAACTCCCTACATTTCATAAATTATTACACCTATACTCCCTACATTTCTTACACCAAAAACACCTTCAATCAATTTCCTACATTCCACCAAAAAAGCATATTAAAAATACCCTTATATAATATAACATAACATTTTTAATATCCTCGTTTTAAATAATGTTATTTTTAGTCTAGAAACTTCTTTTTTTTGGAAACACAATTTCTTCGTTAAATTAACTCATTTAAAAATAGGATGAGTTTAATTCTAAAACACGAACAACACAAATTCGGGCGACGGTATCTTTTCTTCATTATTTTCTCTAGGTAAAACAATTATTCCAAAAGTAGCTAGCTTTGTTTTAAACAACAAATCACTCATTTCAACCGGAGCGAAAGCCGTCGGCTCAATCGCGGAAGCCGGAAAGAGTAAAAGCGAGGCAGTGAAACAATCTGACGAGTTGAAAGAATTACAACTAATAAGAGATCAGCGAAACAGGAGATTAGAAGAAAGGAAAGGAAAAGGCTTTAAAGTTATAGGATAAAAATGATTGTCGTTCACGCTCCAAAAGCTTATTTCGGTTCAGATATACAAAAATCATTGGGTTCTCTTCCTGGATTTCCATTGGCGAAATATCCCGGAGAAAAACATCTTCCCGGTCATAATTACACCGGTCCAGGTACCATACACCAAAACCAAACCTGATTCTTGCTGCATAATAATAAATAAATTTTAATAAAGCCTTTTAATATTTCAACCTCCACAGATTAACCTATACAGATCTATTTACTGTGAGTATGTCGAGGTCAATCTTTGTGTTTTTCTCCATGAACTATATATTTTACTTTTTAAAGCATACATTTATTTTTCAATACCAACCAAACACAAAGTGATCGTAAACGGATTATGTAAACATTCGAAGTTGTGCTTACACTCTAAAATTATCCAAAGTATGACAAGTCTAAATGAAAACTAAAAAGGTATAATCGACAAGATAAAATTATAATGACGCAAGAAAATAAAAACAGAAGAACACCATACAAACAATGATAACAAAAATAACATAAAAGGCATAAAAATACAAAAACCAAAAAACAAAACATCAACCACAAACAAAACCATAACAAACAAGATATTCAAAATTTAAATACAGATTTACCTGTTTTCAAAAGGCAACAACCGTCTCCTAAAATAAGATTGCGCGAAAAGCAGATAAGACTCGAAACAGAGAAAATGAAGGTGAGTGGAAAACTTTAAGATTTACTTTTACTTGTTATAATAATATACTATTTCATTCGGATTATAATTCTGTGAATTGACGTAGATTGGTGACATTTTTAAATTTCAAGTTATATTAGCCTAGAAACGAATATGTTTTAAAAGTAATATCCCTTTTTCCCAACTAAAAATTTTTAAATGAAATATTTAAGATGTTCTCGGTGAGACAAAATGTCATGGAAACGTAATATTTCATCACACTGTCTCTGAACCAAATTATAAGGTAATCTTGTTTGAAATGTTCATATTCAATAAACTCATTCATATATTTCAAATTGAGAACTTTACTGGTCTATACTTGCCATTAGGTTTAGGAACAATAAATAATGTTGATATAAATTGATCACTTTCCCACTCAGATTTAACTATAGCACCTTTCTCTAGGAGATTTTACTTCATTAGTTATAATATCAAATTGTTCTTTGTCAAACATTATTTCTTGGGGAATTTTAGATTGAAAAACTGGCCTATGAAGCTCCAATTTATTACCTAAAACTGTGAATGTTTTCCAGGTATCTACACAGGATCTCAGTTTACCACTGTTAGAAGAATGAGAATTACTGACCCTATCAACTTTGGGATGCTCTTGTCATTGAAGAGTGGAAGTAACAGTACTTGGTGGAGTCTGCTGATTTTGTGGGACGACTGAAATAGTTCCTATTTTCATAACTTCTGTAGTTATTATAATTATTATTATAAGAATAAGGTTGATACCTTCTTTGACCTCTATATTGGTTTAAGCGATTTAATTCTCTACCTTTACCAAAGGTATTTATATCCACGGCCTTGTTTTAGAGCGACACCATACCGATTAGCCTTACTCAAAATCCCATCCCCCAAGAAGCCATGGGAGTCTTTTCTTTACCTAGACTTGCATACTTTATATCAAGCAAAAAATCGACAAATTATATTGAACTGTTGAAAACGGTGATTACATCCGAAAATAGCACCTTAGCTTCCTCATTTGAAAAAATTTCAAAATTTCAGTCAGCGAGATGATATATACCATCCCTATAGCATTTAAATGCTGGATTTTTTTAAATCCTTTATCAACGCCATGATGAGATTTTTCTATATCAGTCCAAATTTCATTATTGACAAGTGGAGTACCAAGCCTCTCACAATTACCAGGCGATTAATACTTGTAAATGATGCTGGTTGTTTCACATCGAGTTGAACAAGCTTAATAAGATATGCAAGAAAGTTAGAGACATCAGGACCTCTTTCAGGTACCTTAACGTGGGCAACTGCCACGAATCAAACTCACCAACTAGAGAATCAGATATATCTAGATTAGCCTTCTGAATGTCTTCTGGTGTCTCTGACTGAAGAGAGCATTGTTCAACAATCTATTAATAGAGGAAGAATTTCTTCCGTTTCCATTGCTATCTAAGTGTTGATCGAAATCGTTGAATCTAAAAATATTTATAGGAGTTGTTGACCTAGTTCTTGAAAGCGCTTTCAATATTTCTCGTGAACACTGAAAGGCACGATTTTGACAAAACTTGGAAAAATTATTCAGTATCACCCCAAAAAGATCACAAGAATTGAATGAATGAAGGTTGAATATTTCATACTTGTGATTGGTACTGTACTGACAAATATTTATTATATTCAAAATCAAGCGGCCAGTGGGTGTATATTACCTTACATGGCAGGCTATCTTTGTCTATACAGGTTATTGAAATAATGGCAAATAATGAAAATGTTCTGGACACATGCCAGATGTTCGCCCAGATATCACTTATTGTCTGGGTAATATAATACCATTTCCTCGCATGACGACATAGTCAAGCAATCAGCAGATACATCAATGATGACTTCATGCCGTAGTGTTCCGACAACCCCTGATCAAAAAATCTGTAAATGTTATCAACACAGTAAGAAATCTTTAACTCATTTTGACAAATAAACGTTTCAATGAACTAGTGAAATGGTGACTTGTCCTGGTAACCAAATTACCACTACCCACATCCAAATTGCAAATCAAATAAAGATCAAATCTAGAGCAGAAATTAAAAGTAAAAGTGGCTGATATTATAGATAATAAAGTGCAAAGGGAATTGAAAATTTAGAATCAAGAGTAAACAACATTTGTGATAAAGTGGGTGAAGAAATTGGCAAGCTTAAATCAGAAATAGAACTTCATTACAAGGATTATCAAATAAACCACATATCAAATTCTGGAAACAAATTACATCAGATAAGAACATAATTACAAACATTTTAGGTTGTAATATAGAACTCCTTAATAATCCAAGCCAATTATCTTTCAACCACCCTTTTCAGTTTCCTAAAGAGAAACAAGCAGCCATATCAATTAAATTGTTAGAATTGGAAAAGAAAAATATTATTGAAAGAACTTATCATGAAGAGGGAGAATTTATCTCCAACATTTTTACTAGAGAAAAGAAGGATGGGGGGCTAAGATTAATCCTCGATTAAAAGAATTAAATGATGAGGTTATCTACAAACATTCAAAATGGAACATTAGAGC